TGTGTTGTCACGTCTTGTGAACTGTGTTCTTTGTAGAAAATCAATTAAAATCTATTATTAAAAAAAACTGATGAGAGAACAGCTCCGGGAGAACTTGTGATTGACCCACGGTCACACCAGCAGCTGCATGTGAAGGAGTGGAGAATCAAACCCGGTTCTCCTAGATTAGGGTATGTGCTCCTAATCATTACATCAAGATGGCTCTTAGGGTTAGAGCCAGTTTGGTGTAGTGGTTAAGTGCACGGACTCTAATCTGGGATAACCAGGTTTGATTCCCCACTCCTCCACTTGCACCTGGCTGGATGACCTTGGGCAAGTCGTAGTTCTGATAAGAGCTGTTCTTAAAAAAGAACAGTTTCTGTCAAGAGCTCTCTCAGCCCCACCTACCTCACAGGGTGCCTGTTGTGGGGAGGGGAAGGGAAAGGAGTTTGTAAGCCACTCTGAGACTCCCTTGGGTAGTGAAGGGCGGGGTACAAATCCAATCTCTTCTTCTTCTTCTAGGTGAGGCCTGGAGAACTCTTGGATAGGGTTGTAAGAGAAAGGAGACTGTAAGCCACTCTGAGACTCCGAGTGAAGGGCAGAGTATAAATCTTATCTCCTCCTCCTCACTGGGTGACCTGGGCCCAGTCACACACTAAGAAGATAAGAGAGGCCAATGTTGGATCAGGCCAGTGGCCCATCCAGTCCAACACTCTGTGTTACACAGTGGCCAAAAATACCAGGTGCCATCAGGAGGTCCAGCAGTGGGGCCAGAGTTGGACACTAGAAGCCCTCCCACTGCTGCCCCCCCCAGCACTCTCAGTCTAACCTACCTCACAGGGTTGTTGCGAGGATAAAAGGGGGGGGAGAGACTACGGTAAGTTGCTTTGGGTCCCCATGGGGAGAATGGTGGGATAGGAATAAATATTAAGTGTGGATGTTGGGGATGGAACCTGCATGCAAAACAGGGACACTACCGCTGAGCCACGGGTCTCCCCTGTATGTGGGACTTGTAATACTCCTGCCCTGGCATGTTCCCTCTAAGCTGTGAGCGTGAGCGGCCGCTCATTAACACCGGAAGCCCCACTCAGCAGCAATCCGGAGCCGGGCAGGGTCTCGCACCACCCAGTACCCATTTTAAGATTACACCGGCTGGTGACCGGAAAGAAGCCCACAGAAAAAACCCCACGGTCATAAATACTCACAGGAAAAAAAGCCCACATGGCAAAATACCATAGATCAGATAAAAGGAAGTCCTTCTTCACCCAAAGACTGGTGAACACATGGAATTCACTGCCACAGGAGGTGGTGGAGGTTACAAGCATGGACGGCTTCAAAAGGGAATTAGATAAGCATCTGGAGCAGAGGTCCATCCGTGGCTATTAGCCACAAGGTATAGATAGGGGCTCTTGGTCTGGGGCAAGTGGTGCTCTGTCTTCTTGGTGCTTGGGGGGGGGGCAACAGTGGGAGGGCTTCTAATGTCCTGGCCCCACTGCTGGACCTCCTGATGGCACCTGGTGTTTTTGGCCACTGTGTGACACAGAGTGTTGGACTCGATGGGCCACTGGCCTGATCCAACATTGGCTTCTCTTATGTTCTTATGTTCATGTAAAGCGCCATAGATTTATAATTGTGTATAACCATTCATCTGCATTTATGGGAATGAACAGGTGTTACTTAGATTTTACAGCCAGTTTGGTGTAGTGGTTAAGTGCGTGGACTCTAATATGGGAGAACTGGGTTTGATTCCCCACTCCTCCACTTGCACCTGCCGATGTGACTTTGGGTCAGTCACAAGCTCTGGCACAGCTGTCCTTGAAAAAGAGCAGTTTGTGTCATAGTTCTCTCAGCCCCACCCACCTCACAGGGTGTCTGTCATGGGGAGGGGAAGGGAAAGGAGTTTGTAAGCCGCTCTGAGACTCCTTTGGGTAGTGAAGGGCGGGGTATAAATTCAATCTCTTCTCTTCTTCTACATTGTTGTTTCAGGATTAAAGCATGTCATATTCACATGCAACAATTTGTGTTGTGATTTTATCAAGCGTGGGCTTTTAGAATCATAGACATAGAATGTTAGAGTTGGAAGGGATCTTGCAGGTCATCTAGTCCAGCCCCCTGCCCTCTGCAGGAGCACAGCCGAAAGATAGCCCTACGACATAGCCGGAAGATGGTCGTCCAGCCTCTGCTTGAAAACGTCCAGCGAAGGAGCATCCACCACCTCCCGAGGCAGACTGTTCCACTGCTCAACCACTCTGACAGTTAGGAAGTTTATCCTGATATTCAGCGGGTAATGATTCCTTTTATATGTATGGGCTTTTTCCCCATGTGGGCTTATTTCCATGTGGGCTTATTTCCTGTGAGCATTGACATGGTTTTTTTCCTGTGGGCTTTTTTTTCATAGAACCACACTAGCTATATTCTGCTCAGGATGTGTGAACTGCTCTGCTCAGCAGGGTGGGGGTGGGGGATTAGAGGGACCACTGCTGCCCAGCCCGATGAAATAAAAGAAATGTTTTCCAACAAGCCTTCCTCTCCCACCACCAGGGGTCATTTCCTGCAGGAGCGCGCAGGAGCGGAGCTCCGGCAGTAAAGAGCCCAGGGGGCGGGCACATGCAATAAGCCCCGCCCCCTGCTCCCAGTAGCCCTCAGTCAGAGCAAGAAGCAGCCAGGTAAGTTGCAGAGCTCCCCCCCGCCACCCGGTCCAAAACAGTCCAGTGGCACCTTTAAGACCAAGTTTTATTCAGGTACAAGCTCTCCCTCCTCTGCGAGGACAGATCTGCACGTTCCCCCCCCCCCATAGCTAGCCATCCAAAACAGTCCAGCGGAGCCTGAGCGGTGGGTGTTGCCTTCTGACACCCTTCCGGTGATGTCAGGGGGTGTGGCATATGCAAATGAGTTGTGCTAATGAGTCATGCTAATAAGCTCCTGCACCTCTTTTTCTACGAAATGGCCCCTGCCCACCACCAACGCACTGAAGGTCAACTTGAAAAAATTGGCCTTGCATTGCCGTTGAAGGCGGAGGAGACCGAGGCTGCGGGGTGTTGCCTTCAAGCGGGGGTCTGAAACCTGACAGCTGTGTTTGAAGGCTCTCTGTGTACCGCCGCTGACAGGTGTACAACAAAGAAGGTTTTGATCTCCTGGCTCTGCGGGGCATGTGGCTGGTCGGGGCCTGGAAGAGGAAATCTAAGCTGCGAGGCAAGGCACAGTGTCCTCTCCCCTGTTCGCTCCCGAAAGATCCACGTTCAGGGGATGTTCCCAGGCAATTAGGCCCCCCGTCAGCTGCCCCTCGTCTCCGGTACGGAATGTCACCTCATTAGGAATGCGCAGGGCTTGGAAACAGCTCACAAAAGCCACCATTGTGGAGGGAAAACGAGGGAAGAAAAAGATGCCACAAACTGATGGGCCAAGCATCGCTCCTGTTACCTCCTGTGTTCTACTCTGTTTTCCAGCCTGATAACAAAAAAAAATTATCTTCAGGTGGGCAGCCGGGTTGGTCTGAAGCAATAGAACCAGGGGTCATTTCCTGCAGGAGCGGCAGGAAAGAGCCCAGGGGGCGGGCACATGCAACAAGTCCCGCCCCCTGCTCCCAGCAGCCCTCAGTCAGAGCAAGAAGCAACCGGGTAAGTTGCAGAGCTCCCCCCCCTCGGTCCCCCGGCCCAAAACAGTCCAGTGGCACCTTTAAGACCAAGTTTTATTCAGGTACAAGTTCTCCCTCCTCTGCAAGGACAGATCTACACGTTCCCCCCCCCCCAATAGCTAGCAATCCAAAAGAGTCCAGTGGCACCTTTAAGACCAAGTTTTATTCAGGTACAAGCTCCCCCTCCTCTGCAAGGACAGATCTACACATTCCCCCCCCAATAGCTAGCAATCGAAAAGAGTCCAGTGGCACCTTTAAGACCAAGTTTTATTCAGGTACAAGCTCCCCCTCCTCTGCAAGGACAGATCTACATGGTCCCCCCCCCCAATAGCTAGCAATCCAAAAGAGGCCAGTGGCATCTTTAAGACCAAGTTTTATTCAGGTACAAGCTCCCCCTCCTCTGCAAGGACAGATCTACATCCCTCCTCTGTGAGGGCAGATCTGCACGTCCCCCCCCCCCAAATAGCTAGCAATCCAAAACAGTCCAGTGGAGCCTGAGCGGTGGGTGTTGCCTTCTGACACACTTCTGGTGATGTCAGGGGGCGTGGCATATGCAAATAAGTTACACTAATGAGTTATGCTAATGAGCTCCTGCACCTCTTTTTCTACAAAATAACCCCGATACCTCCCTCTTCCACACCCCCAGTGATTGCAATTGGAGTGGCTCTGCTCACCCCCCCCCCCCCCGGAGCAATCTCCTGTTCCCTCCCTTGCACCAGTAGCTTGCGGGCCGGTTCTGGCCTTACGTTTGACACCCCTGTCCTAGAGTATAAATCGTTCCGCTTGGGGACGCAGTGAGAATCCCCTTTCCTTGTCGACGGGCTATCTCAACTTGAAAATTCTGTTTCGTGAACGGGAGCGCGAGACATGGAAGAGACAGGGAGCCCAGGGCAGAGATCACCGATGCTGAGCCGAAGCAGGGGTCATTTCCTGCAGGAGCGCACAGGAGCGAAGCTCCAGCAGTAAAGAGCCCAGGGGGCGGGCACATGCGACAGGCCCCACCCCCTGCTCCCAGCAGCCCTCAGTCAGAGCAAGAAGCAGCCAGGTAAGTTGCAGAGCTCCCCCTGGCCCAAAACAGTCCAGTGGCACCTTTAAGACCAAGTTTTATTCAGGTACAAGCTCTCCCTCCTCTGTGAGGGCAGATCTGCACGTCCCCCCCCCCCCAAATAGCTAGCAATCCAAAACAGTCCAGTGGAGCCTGAGCGGTGGGTGTTGCCTTCTGACACACTTCTGGTGATGTCAGGGGTGTGGCATATGCAAATAAGTTATGCTAATGAGCCCCTGCACCTCTTTTTCTACAAAATTACCCCTGAGCCGAAGGACTGCCTAGCAGGGCCACATCCCAAGGCGAGCTGGTCCACCCTCCCTGTCTCACCCCTCTACTTACGATGTAGCAGGGCTCGCAATAGGCCTTCTTCTCCACTGCGTAGAAAGGCTGGCCCCGGAGCTTGTTCCCGCAGGTCATGCAGGTGAAACACTCCACGTGGAAGACCTGGTCCATCGCCGTGCAGCCCGTTCCTTCCCCCACGACATTCTCTCCGCAACGTGCGCAGCGGCCTGGACGAGACAAAGAGATTCAGGGGTGGCAGGAAGCGTATTTTGTTCTCAGCCTGAAAAGAGAACCAGGTCAAGAATAGCCCAGCAAGATCAGGATCTTGCTAAACCAGCATCATTTTTCCAACCCGCAATGTAACAACACCTGCACGGAACGATTCCCTGGTCGGCTTGTTTATTTAAAACACTTGTTAGACACCTTTCTTCCTTATGGAGCTCAAGGAGGCTTGCAATATAAATCTAACACATAGCATACATGATCTTATATTCTAATAACCACCCTCATCTGCGGATAGTTACATCCACAGATCGGGGCCACATGGAGGCTAAACAGATTCATCTTTCAAACTTGGGGCATTCCCCAGTTTTCCAGAAAAATCTGAAATTAGGAGGAGGAGGGGGAGGAGGAGGAGATATGATTTATACCCCCTGCCCTTCACTCGGAGTCTCAGAGCAGCTTACAAACTCCTTTCCTTTCCCCTCCTCACAACAGACACCCTGTGAGGTAGGCGGGGCTGAGAGAGCTCTTTCGAGGACTGCCCTTGAGAGAACAGATCTGACAGAACTTGTGACTGACCCAAGGTCAGAGAACAAGTATAAAGAAAACAGTCGTGAGAGTCTGACCCACAAATCAAGCAGTCCACAAGGCTTGCAAAAAATGCTTCCTCTTTATTACAGTCTAAATTCCTACCAATCATAAGAAAATGCTAGAACAGCAAGAGAGCTTTTGTACCAGTTTGGTGTAGTGGTTAAGTGCGTGGACTCTAATCTGGGAGAACCGGGTTTGATTCCCCACTCCTCCACTTGCACCTGCTGGATGACCTTGGGCAAGCCATCGTTCTGATAAGAGCTGTTCTTGAAAAAGAGCAGTTTCTGTCAAGAGCTCTCTCAGCCCCACCTACCTCCCAGGGTGTCTATTGTGGGGAGGGGGAGGGAAAGGAGTTTGTGAGCCGCTTTGAGACACCTTTGGGTAGTGAAGGGCAGGGTATAAATCCAATCTCCTCCTCCTCCTCATCCTCTTCTTCTTCTTCTCTCTGTAAGTAAGACTGCATTTGGATTTTTTACTGTTTTTCATTGTTTACATTGCATATATTCTACGAATTGTATTTTTATACACTACAGAATATTCCTGAGGAAGATCCAATTTTGAAACGTTGTTATATAATCCAGAGACAATGTTGATGAAGTATCTTTGATTAGGTATCTTTGTTCTAGGATTTCTCTGATTAGGTCGTGTTTGTCGATATTTGTCTTGCCCAAGGTCATCCAGCAGCTGCAAGTGGAGGAGTGGGGAATCAAACCCGGTTTTCCCAGATTAGAGTCCGCGCACCTAACCACTACACCAAACTGACAAATAAAAAACAACAACAAATAAAGGGGGGTTTAAATCCCCCTCAATGCATTTCTAGAGAGATTGGATTTATACCCCGCCCTTCACAACCCAAAGGTGTCTCAGAGCGGCTTACAAACTCCTTTCCCTTCCCCTCCCCACAACAGGCACCCTGTGAGGTCGGTGGGGCTGAGAGAGCTCTCTCGAGGACTGCCCTTGAGAGAACAGCTCTGAGAGAACTTGCGACTGACCCAAGGTCACCCCAGCAGCGTTGTCTGCTCATGCAAAGACAGACGCTTTTAGGAGCCGCTCCGGCCCAGTCCAGCAGCAGATCCCGGCAGCCACTGTGGGCCTGGTCCCAAAGTCCGAAGGAGAAGGATGCTGGCACCTGGGGCGTGGCGGTGGAGGAGCATACCAGCAACCGTACCGGGGTCAACCATAGAGGGCTCTGGCAACAACACCAACTTTGGCAGCGGCCACAGAGGACAGAAGCAGCTGTGCCAGGGCTGGCAGCGGGAGACCCCAGACTCATTAGAAGACGTGCCAGGCTTGGTCCTGGGGGTATATGGAATCCCCTTCTGAAGTCTCCCCCCCCCACTGAGCTACGTGGGGAATTAGCAGCGACGGGTGTAGGGATCCCCACGTGTAATTCTGAAAACCAAAATTTTAATCAAATGCAGCCCTCAGTAAAACTCTCTTCTCCTTACCTTTAAAGCCCTATATGGCCAGGGTCCGGCTTACCTGAAAGACCGCTTTTCCCCATATAGACCCCACAGAGCACCCAGAGGGTACAACAGCGTCTAACTATTCCGGGCCCCAAGGATGCGAGGCTTGCCGTTACCAGGGCCAGGGCTTTTTCGGTGGCGGCTCCTCACTGGTGGAATGAGCTCCCGGAGGACATCAGGGCCCTGCGGGACCTTTCACAGTTCCGCTGGGCCTGCAAGATGGAGCTCTTCCGCCAGGCTTTCTAACAGGAACCGCCACCACTGTTGCCACCAACGATCCCATGTGTACATTGGGAATACTGGACTGGCCCACTACCGATGGTGCCATTCAAATCTGGCCCACAGGACTGGCCTGAAGAACAGAAGATGACCGGAATGAAAACGCACACCATCCACTTTAAGATCATTTAATACTGCGAGCATCTTAATGTTTACTGTTGATATATTAAGTATGTTTTATGCTATCTTAATGTTTTATGGTTTTATGTGGAATCGGCATATTTTGCCGTCTTTGGAAGCCGCCCAGAGCCTGTTTACAGGGTGGGTGGGGTATAAATATAAGTATAAATAAATAAATAAAGACTGGAAGGAGCCAGGCACACCTTCTATGGTAACACAGCAACCAGTGTTCCCTCTAAGCTGAGTTAGTGTGAGCTAGCTCACAGTTTTTTAGCCTCCGGCTCACATGTTTTTGCCTTAGCTCAGGAAGGGAGGGCTCCAGAGCAAACTAATTTATGCAGTAGCCATATTGCTCACTCACAGCTTTCATGCCAGTAGCTCGCAAAGTAGACTTTTTGCTCACAAAACTCCACAGCTTAGAGGGAGCATTGACAGCAGCCACACATTTTTTCTGACCACAAATGTGTTGTGTTGGAGTATTAGTGGTCGGCAGGGCCACGGCACCTGTGGGATCCAAAACAAAGAGTTTCCCCCTCAAATGGCGTGGCCCCGCCCCCAGTGTACGATGTCACTTCCGGGTGACGCGCACGCGGGGGTGGGGTTTCCCCCGGGCCCGATTTTCGTCCCGTCAAAAATCGGGCCGTCAAAGCGGGGGATTCCCTGCCCCCCGGCCCGATTTGGGAACCCTACTGGAGTCCTGAGCAGGGGGGGGGGGAGACCAGATGGCCTCTATGATCCCTTCTGACTCCATGATTCTATTTGAACATCAAATCGTAAAAGAAAAGGGGGAAAGCCAGCTGTAAACTCCCCCCCCCAGACCATCTCAGCCTAGATATTCTTGTCCCTGTCTGTCAAAAGACTGACTGAATAGAAAAGTGTCAAAAGGTGACGGTTCGATCCCTGTCCTGGAAAAGAAATCCATAACTGGAAAGCGGGGGCACGCGCCTGAGACCGAGCAGGGTGGAAGCAGCAGGCCGAGGGGGCGAGGACGGAAACCTCGTCCGCCCGCGGCCGAACATCCGACGCTGTCCTCGAAACGCTGTTCTGTCATCAATATCCCCTCATTAGGAATAATGATTTTTCCACATTCCCTGCCAGTTGGTTCCCTGAACCGTCCAGAAGCCGGATGTGTCTTGAATCTCTAAAGCGCACTTATTGGAGGGACTCCTGATGTGGCGACTGTTAGGAAGAAATAGCAACCGGAGGAGGAGGAGGGCGCTGCGGGAACGGCGGTTATTGATGGTACCTGCGGGAACCCTCTAGTGGATATTGCGCTCCAGAGTATTTACATAAGGAAGACATTGTGGCGCGCGGCCTGCGAGAGACGACACGTTTGCTCTGTCTCTTGAGCTCTTTGTCATGCATCATTTTGCCGCTGCTCAATGGGCTCTGGGGAGCGACGGGAGGTGCACAGCCGTCTCAAGGTTGCCTCGTGGCAGTTGAGAGCCGGAACGTTTCGGCGGCTTCATCTGGGGGCGTTCCTTTGTTCGCACAGCTAGCCCCGGCCTAGTCCTTAGGCTCAGGGTGAGGACGAATCCGCTCAGCCTGCAAAAACCAAAACGAAGCCTCTCGGGCTGCATTGACTTTTCCCTCCGTTGTTTGACGAAACCCACGTTGGAACAGAAATTCCCCTCTGCACTGCATGCTGCTTTCATTTCCTTTGATTATCGGGTTTTATGGTAGCCTCCACACTCCATGCCGCTTTCAAGTTCTTTGATCCTCAGATTTTATTGCACCTTCTACATAGATTTATGGCCATTTTATGGCCATTCAGGGGTGACTTTGCAGTCAGTACGGCATCGCCCTGAGGTATTTGAATGTGGTTTTGAGCTGCACTTCCCCCCCCCCCAGTTGAGAAAATGTGGAGTGAACGCTAGATGCAGAATCGCCCTCAGTCTCGACAGATCTTCAGGAATTGGTCGGTTTGTCGTGGGAATGGGAGCTCTTCCCAGTCTCCCTAGGGAACAGCTAAATTCGAGTCCAGTAACACCTTAGAGACCAACAAGATTTCGGGGTATAAGCTTTCGAGAGTCAAAACTCCCTTCAGAATTCTGACTTGTATCTGATGAAGGGAGCTTGACCCCTGGGGTGTCGAACTCATTTGTTATGAGGGCCGGATCTGACATAAAGGAGCCCTTGTTGGGACGGACCATGTGTGTCATAAAATGTAACGCCAGGTAGCGAAGAGATAAACTTTATAAAGCACACAAACATAAAGGTGGTTTTTTTACTTAAAATAAAAACATGCTTAAAACATTAGCGCTCTTGCAGTATTTAGTTTATTTAACAGTGTCTGATAACTGACACCTCTTGCTCTGAATTACTGCATCAAAATGTCTGTGCTGTTGCAGTCTTGAGTACGCTGTTCAGGTGTGTATCTGTAAGCTGCAAACCTACGATGACGCAGCAGCAGCAGAACTGGAAGAAGAAGCAGAAGACAGCCAGTTCCACTGAGGGCCTGATAGAAGCCCTCTGGGGGCCTGATCCGGCCCCTGGGCTGCATGTTTGACACCCCTGACCTAGAGCATCCCTGAGAAGTGTAAGTCCAG